ATGTGACATCATGTTAAACGTAATCGATTTTCTCTATTCAAAATGAATTAAATGATTTTTTCTGAAAGAGAAAATCGTTTATAATGATTTAAATATTTTCATGTACAATCAGTACGTGTTTATCTTCCAGCGAATGCTTTTAACGACATTCTGCATGTGTTATTTTTCTATTTGTTTAATTTTTCGTGTCCTGAGCGTAGTTAGTAATATAAAACGATATATCAGAAAAATGAAAAAAAATTCTGACATATCACGTATTAGGAAACGATGCTCAGAAATGAAAAATTTTTTATTAATCGACAAAGCAATTCCACGATTTTAATTGTTTTTGCTCGATTATTGTCTATATTGTACCATTAGACTGACCAATCGCAAGTGTCTTCGAATGAAAGAATTCCTCTGATTATGAAATTGCGTCGTGTTAAAATAACGAGCTCAATAGTGACACGAATTCTAAAACAAAGAAAAAAAAAAAAAAAAAAAAATATTAAAAAGAAAGAATTAAAGAAGAGAGTGAGTTTGATAAAGAGAAAGCGAATAAGAGAGGGAGCGTAAGAGAAAAGATGGAAATAGGAATGAAAGTGAGAATGGAAGAGAGCAAGAAGGAATGTGTGTACTAGGTATTATGATTGTATAATACGTGGTTTGTAATTGTACATACGAGAAGAAATCATTGGCAGCAATTTAAACAGAATACAAATATCTATGTATAAAAAGTAATAAGTACTAATACACACCTCTATATATGTGATAAGGTTTGTAATATTTAAGGGAGGCCGATAGATTGTATAACCTACTAGATCTCAGTATAAGTTACTAGGTAAAGATCGTAATAATTCGTAAGTAACACCAAAATCACTCCGCTGTATCAAAAAAATAATTTTTTATATAAGTTCCCACGGGCGCACATCATCTCCAATGGCACATGAGTTTTAGTAGACTTATTACGACTAACGATAGCAAGACATTAAGCTGGTTGTACATAAATAATAATGATGAAATGAAGAATAAATGGCTAAAATAAAGAAATGCTTGATGTTGTTAAGTAAGAGAGGACGTTGTTTACTTGAGCCAAATTTGTTCGCACGCTTACCCCTGACTTCCATTAAACTATTTTTATTCGAAAGAAATAATTTATAATTTTTTATGTTCATCCAAAGAATGCAAATAAAAAAATTATTGGATTTCTAATGTGACTTTTTTGTATTGATGCATCGTTACAAATGCATTCATTCAATATACATATTTTAATATTGTTAAAAACATCAATTTAATACAAATTTAATTCATAATTTTTTATTTCTTTACAAACTCGGAAATATAACAATATATATTGAAAAATATCGATTCATTCTATCATCTCTATTTACTTAACAATATCAAATTGAACTATATCGTCTGTTTTCTTATTAATATCTATAAATAAATAAGAAAAGAGACATTTATTAAATATTTGAATTAACGTTACGAGGCAAATGTGAATACAATGTTATATAATAAAACTGCAGGTTATTAATTATAGATATATATATATATATATATATATATACAGAATTACCTTTCTTAGTTTATAATATTTTGCATGTTATATATAAAAATATAAATATATAAATATGAATAGAGAGAGAAAGAAACAGAGTGAAAGTGTTACATAGTCATCGATAGAAGAGATATACTAATTGAAATACATATTCTCATGTTTGACGTTTTCTCTTATGTTGCGGATCTATTACATTGGATAAGAAATATTGTATATAATATTAATACAGATAAAACAATGCATATTATACGTTATTATAATCTTTACAAATATGCTAATTATTCTAAGGTTTAATTATTAATAACTAATTGAAAGTAAATTAATTGTACTTGTATTTTTCATTGACCTTACCTCTTATAGAACAACTCAAATGTAAAATTTATAATATAAAATTTAATTGAAATAAAATAAAAAGTATCTTAAAATTGATACTCAATAATTAAATTCGTTTTTTTTATAAATAATTACACACAAATTTTTTATTTTCTTCTTAAATTATATATAAAATTTAATTAATATATTCTTTTTAAAATATTATATATTTTAACATATGTTGATAAATAAATTTAATTATCATATTGTTTTTTGAAGCGATTAAATTCTTTCAATCTATAAGCTTGTGTGCGAATAAAACCACCCACGTCTTCAGGTTCGAAATCTCCTTGTACATCCATTGAAACTAAATTTTGATTGTATAAAGAAATTTTGCTATGTCGACTAAGTACAGATACTGCAAGTTCAAAATAATAAGTATTTGCTTTAAAAAAAAATTAATTTCATTAATACTAACCATTTCCCTTATACAACTGCAATCGAACTGTACCATTTACGTATTTTTGAGAATATAATATGCTATTCCGTACGAAATCAAATTCAGGAGAAAACCAGAAACCTAATGAACATTATTGCCTATTTTTAAACATATTTCATTTTATAAAATTATTATTTCTTATTTTATTAACTATCCTTAATATTCTTTTTACCATTGTAGACATAATCAGACATTTTGTTAGTCAAATAAGATTTTACTCTTAAAACCTCACGATCCAATATAAAAATCTCTAAATCTTGATGTGCTTTGTATAGAATCGTTGCTCCCGGTGATTCGTAAATTCCTCTAGACTGAAATATTAATAATTTTTAACAATTCTATCAAATATTTAATAATTTTTATTTTATTTACTTTCAAACCAATAAAACGATTCTCGACAATGTCGATACGTCCTATACCGTGTAGATTACCAACTTCATTTAAATATTGTATTATTTTAAGCGGAGTGAGAAACGTTTCATTATTTTTTAATTGTTTGACGGACGACGGATATCCTTGCTCAAATTTGATTTCAATCTCTTCCGGTTCCGTTGGAGAACATAATGGATCACATGTCATTTTATATATTTGTTTCGGGGCTAACGCATTTGGATTTTCCAAAATACCCGATTCATAACTAAAAATATACGCATATTTTTAATTTTAATTAATTTTTAATTAATAATACTAAAAAATAAAAGTATATATCGTTTCAAATATACCTAACGTGTAATAAATTCGCATCAGTACTCCATGGTTCTTTTGGTGTTACTGAAATAGGAATACCGTTCTGTTGTGCGTACTTTAACAAATCCGGTCTTCCTGAAAATCTTGTGTAAAATTCTTTCTCCCTCCAAGGTGCGAGTATCTGTAGTAAATGATAAAGTAAAAAGATTGTAAAGTATAAAAACAATATATGTGAAAAATATAAAATCAAAATACCTGGATATCTGGATAAAGGCTGTAACAGTTCAGTTCAAAACGAACTTGATCATTACCTTTTCCTGTCGCACCATGAGCGATTATATATGCATTTTCAGTTTTTGCAAGTCTTATAAGACCTTCGCTAATGCATGGCCGAGCGATTGCCGTACCCAAAAGATATCTATCTTCGTAAAGAAGTCCGCATGCAATGGCTGGCCACACAAATGATGATAGAAAAACTTCTCTAAGATCTTCTATTACTACCTAAAATAAAAAAAATAAAATAAATAATAAAAATAAAAATAAAATAAATAAAGTAAATAATTAAATCGCTGATAATTAAATAAAAAAAGTTAGAAAAGATTGTTTTATTCTTCAGAAGATTAATTATAACTAAAAACATGAAAATCAATATTATCAACGCGATTTAAGACAAAATATCTATAAATTAATAAAAATTTTCTTATCACCTTCGTAGCACCAATTTTTAACGCTTTTTTTCTAGCAGCATCAAAATCTTCTTCTTGTCCAATGTTTGCCTAGATCGAGATTTTTTTATACAGTATCTATTTAAAAAAAAAAGAAATAACAATTATCTTAAATAATCTTACCATATAAGCTATAACTTGATATCCCTTTTCTTTCAACCATAATAATATGCATGATGTGTCCAAGCCACCGCTATAAGCTAAAACAACTTTCTTCGCTGTTTCGGACATTTTTTTAAACTCTTGATGCAATCGGAATTTAAAGACAATATGATAATATTAATTTTGTAAATCGACTGTTGGATCTCATATATATATATATATATACATATATATAATTCCGCTTGTTGACCTATGATTAATGATAACCCATGAATGATTTTCATAATAATAATATAAAATGAATTAATTTTTATGTAAATTTTAATTGGCAATATATTCAAATCAAATAAAATCATATCTCTATTTAATGTGGTATGGTGAATGCGTAAAAAAAGAAACAAAATTGGAGCGAATTGTAGGCCTTTATAAGCAGAACATTTTGTTTAAACTACAATCTACATACATATATGTACTCATATAATATATTATGTAATAATCAATACCGTAAACTTTGTAATAATCTCGCCGCTAAATAATCACAATATTAACACAATATTATCAATAATCATTACGATCATTAACAGATTAACTTCCACCGATCGCGAAAGCGATGTACAATTGCTTCGTATATAGCAGAAGTTTCAACGTGTAAGTACTTATCAGTATAGATATTATTTTGAATGAAACAAGTGTAAGTCTTTTATAATCGGACAGTTTTTTCAAATTGATATAAATGCACGTTTTAAGGTGAGCTAAAAACGGCATTTGTATTATATATAATTTAATACATATCTGTACGCTATTCAAATGCACTTATTTAGCAACAAATTGATAATATAACAAAGTACATGTAACGAATAACTAAATATACATCTATCGTTTTATTATACAATAAGATATTTAAATATTTGTATCTTTAAACATACTTAAATAACTTTAAACGATTTACAAAATAAATATTAATTTTACTTATTTTCTTACTAAACTATGCTTGCTGAAATTAAGGGACATATAATCCATGCTATACAATATTCAATTCTTATATGAATTAAAGAAGCAATAATAGTGATTTCGCAAGCGAAATCTCCACACTAAATATTCTTTATCATAGTGTAACAATCGATAATTTTTGGAGCGGGAGATAACGAAATATTAATAATAACGAGAAATTTACACGAATATCGCGATTTTCTACTACAATACATCAATTTCTTTTTGCTAAATACATCGCTTATTTTTTAACAAAGGGATAATATGGCATAGGATAACATATGATATTTGAGCTAGATCATTCGCGAGCCTAAATTACTATTAAGCACCTCTGTACGATTTTCATTAGTATTGCCAACATATTTATTCCTTCCATACATTTTTTATTCGCGCAGGCACTTAATATCTTTTTCTTCTGGCGCTATTATATTCTAGCCAAATGATGTTTATGATATGACATTTCCCAATGTTTTTAATTAGTCGCTAATTAACTAGACGACTTTAACAATTGACTGAGTGTTCCTTATTTTAAATTAATTATACTTCGAGATCATCCACAAAACTTTGTAGCTGATATTATTAACGGAGCCAAAGCTAATGGCATATTAGGAATACGGGAATGTTTTTATTTTTTTTTTTACAACATAAACATTTTTTTTTATATGTGAAGTTTACTTAAATCATCTAAGAAGGATTTCGGTGTAATTATGTGCGACGAACCTAAAGTGAGATAATAATGTAATATTAAAACAAATTCAATTATATAAATTTTTAATGTATACTTACCAATTATGACTTCCCAATTTTTTAAAGCATTTGTAACTTCGTAAGCGCATCGGATTTCAGAAAAGCAAACACCTCCAACGACAAAAACGATTAATCTTGGAACATTCTTAATAGTTTGTGAACCTTTGTCTTTATGCCAATGTCCATATCTTGCACTAAAAAAAAAAAAGAAAAAAATTAATTATAATGTTATAAAATTATAAAATATTATTTACATAAATTTTTATATTATTATACCTAGTTGGAGCATGATATCCCGAGCTTGCTGCTCGTCCAGCCAAAAAAGGAAAATGTTTAGAATCCAGTTTATCTTCAATAGCGTCTTCCATAATATCTTTCATAACTGGAGTCCAACGACTCATTTGATAAGTTTGTTCTGTAATTCTTTCTTTACGTTGTACGGTATATAATTTTTTACGATTACCACCCTATAAATAGATACAATAAAATAGATTCCAATATCAAAACTATGTTTGAAATATATATGCATTATTAATAATTGATAAAATAAGATATTTACATCTACAACTATGTTAATACCAAGATTAGCCATGTTTACTATAGTTTGTTTATCATCAGGAGATATTTGAGCATGATGAACAAGACGATTAAGATTTTCTTCAGAAATACCATTTTTACTAATAACATATAATGCAATAATTCGTAATTTGTCTAAATGATGTACAGTTTGGTCAAGTAAAATTGGAGTAATATTTTTCATTTGATCTTTGATACGTTCTCCTTCAGCATCTGTACCCATCGCTAAATCCTAGTAAAATGATGATAATGTGACACTTAACAAATAAATTTAATAACATTTAAAAAAAAGAAAAAATTATATAAAACATACTTGCTCTACTTTACATAATTTATCTACATTTCCTTGGTAACGTTTCATACAATCTTCTGCTAACTGTAAATGTGTGGCATATTTACTCAATTCTTTTTGATATTGTGGCATTTTTTTAATCATCTGTGAAAGATCCCTCATACTTTGTTTGTCTCCTTGTGGCATTCTTTTTGATTCTGTGAATTTCTTTAAATTTTTAGTAACATTCCTAAAAAAGATATATACTATGATATATGTATTTGCATTTTTTTTTAATTATTTATTTTTATTAATAGAATTCTTATTTCTATTAATTTTTTTATGAATTTTTAAATTATTCTACTCACTGTGAAACTACAGCAATATGCTGATGTCTAAGATCTACCCATAAAT